CTTATTTCATGTTCACAGTGCTCTACCTCTGGACAATTGCTTCCTTCATTTTCACAAGAGGAAGCATTATAATATTCACATAACACTGTTTTCTTGTAAGGTTTAGGTAATTGTTGTGTACAGGAAACTATTTTTAAAAAAATTTTTTTTAATTTAAGTGATATTTTAAACAAAGTTACATTAATAAAAAATACTAGCTTTCTTAATAGTTAAAAATGCCCGATTTAAAAACATTAAATTTTATAATGAAATAAAAAAAAACTCAATACTAAAGGAAGTTATAAAATTTTAATTTTAATTAAGATTTTTGTGATGGATAAAAAGAGTGTTTTAATAATTTTTAAAGAACAATTAGTTACTTTAAAAAAAAATTTCGTATTTATAATTTTGTTGACAAGGTATATGAACTTATGAAGGGGCAGGATATCGAAAAATGTGGGAAAAAAATGCACTTACCTAAAGTTAAAATTAAAAATAAAGTTAAAATGTCAATTAACAGCATATTGATAAGGAACTTAATTTTTAATAAATTGAAACCATATTATTTTATTTAATATTATGCATGCCACAGAATTCCGCCATTTTAATAAGATGGCGGGGAGCGTTGAAATTAAAAAGCCTCCTTGATTTCTTATAAGGAATATTGAGAATATCGTTAAATGACATTAAAAATCGTATTTTTTTTTATGTTGGTAACATGTACGTAATAACTATGATTACTTATAACGAATAAAAAATATTAAGGTTTTATAATATAGGAGTTAACAAATATCTTATTAAATGACTTAAAGAATGAAAACTTACATAATTTTGAGTTTTGCGTTGATATTTTTGTTTCCAGTTGAATCTTTAAAAAAATTTTTAAATTTATTAGCAATAAGTTAACAAATTTTTTTCATTATAAAAATTTTTTGAATGTAGTCATTTTTATAGTTTTTCTTTTTTTTTTTAAATAAATACCTTTATTAATTATTTTCATTTTATTTATTAAGCATAAGCAAATTTATTTTAAAGTTAAATATGAATCCTGAAACATTTTATGAAAATTTACACGTTCTCAAGGCAACGAAAAATGAAAATTTTTATGAAAATTTACTTGCGATCGTAAACTTTAATCTTGTTGAAAAATTTGAACATGGAAGTGATAGACCGTGTACAAAAGATGATTTTAATAAATCTATAGAAAATCGTGATAAACAAATTTCATTCGCATATTTGATTTTTACTGATCTTATCCGTAGTGGATTTTTTTCTGATGAAAATTTTTGTTTGGAATTAGAATTGTTGGTTGCATTGTTTATTTTATGCGGGGAAAATTCTGAGATTAAACCATGGAACACGGAAAACACAGTTAAAACTTGTAAATTGCTATTATCGGAAGTTTTAAATTTATACAAATGTTCCGATGTAACAGATCTGGTAAGAAACTTATTAACTTAGTAAATATTAAAATATTTCCATTAAATGAGATTTAAATAAAAATGTAAAACTTTAGCATTAACTATAACATTTAAATAAAAAACTACTTTGTAAAATAAAATTGTTTTCAATTCTTATATATGGTAAGAATAAAAAATTTTGATTTTTTTTCTTTAACCCAAGCAAGAATTTATTGGAATAACAAAAACAAAATAAATTTCAGGTAAAAAAAAAATATGGTCATAAACTTTTTAAAAAAATTTTACAAACTATTCGACCGAAATTATTACCGGATTCATGGAAATTCTTTCCTTCTACAATTGTTTGTTACAAATGGATTTTGCATTATATAATACAACCGGAATTAAGTTATCACTTAAATTCAGTTTTACCTACTGCACTATTGTTAGTTGATGATTACATAAATGACAATAAAATAATTGGAATCACATGTTTAAGTCATATAATAAAAAATTTGGTAAGTTTCAGTGAAAAAAAAAAAAATTAGTCTTTTTTTTAATAACTTAAATACAATAAATTAGACATTGGTATAAATACTTTGATTTTATCTGTTTTGTTTTTATAGACTTTAGCAGAGCTTCAATATCATAACCATGGAGATGTGATTTATAATGCATTGTTACCTTTAATTAGATTAAGAGATAGCGAAATAATTGCCAAGGTTTTACCAACATTAGTGTTAATTACTTCAAAAATGGAATTTTGTTTAGATAATAAAAATTTAACTGATGTAAGTCCTACAATTTTAAAATTATCGATTAAAAAAGAAAACTTAAATTCATGGAAATTCTATACTTCTACAAATGCATGTTACAAATTTTATTTTTCAGTGGTCAAAGTTTGACTGTATTTACGAAATTTATTTAGAAAATATGGAATTAGAATCAGTTTTAAATATGAGAAATTGTTACATTCAAAATTTAGCCCTTCTATTAAAAGCCACAACTAATGAATTATTACGTTGGTGTAAAAGACTACTGAGAATTTTTAACGAATATATTGAAATAGCTGTAAAACATGATGATGATTTTGTTATAAGTTGTTCCTTAAAGGTAAACTGATTGCTAAACATTAAAATTTTTTTTTAGTACTTACATTGGTTTTGAATTTTATTTTAGAATATAGAAATATTCATTGAGCAAACTGTGGCAGCTAAACACCTTTATGGAAGAAAATTATCGTTTATACTTATTAAAACATTATTGAATTCTACCAAAGGGTCATCCGATGAACAAAAAAAAAATAAAGAGTTAGCATTTAAACTTCTTCAACTGATAAACATATTTTCAAAAGAGGATAAAAATACAATAAAAATTACTTTAAAAGAAACAAATATAAAAAATTTGATTTTTTTAGATAATATCACACATTTTTTAAACTAAAATTAAATTATAACTGTTTTGAAAGTTTTTCTGTATAATTTTATCATTGAAATTAAACCTACACTACATTCAAATTTTTGGGGAAGAAAAAACACTATAATAATTTTTATTTAATTCGTATAAAATTGTGGTATAATTTTTTTTTCCAAATCAAATTTAACATTATTAGTTTTCAACTTTTAAATTTTATAAATTTTTTGGGCCCGTTACGTTAAAACCCGCGATCTCGCCATTTTGTTTAATTTAATAAGTGCGTCTACCATAATAAGTATTACATTTTTCTTCATCCTTTTTTTTGCCCATTATTACATGATTTGAATTCGATAGTCTGTAGGAGAAAATTTTCGAATAAAAACTTAATAAGATTAATTTACTTATTCCCTCGTAAGACGCCTGAAGCTATCTTAAAAAAAAAAAAAAAAAAAAAAAAAAAAGTAGATAATTTTTAGAATTTATTTAATTTTTTTAAAATGGCTTCAAAAGGTAAGCAAAATAAAATAAAAAATTTTAATTGTTGTAAGATTTGAAAAATATTTTTTAAAAGTTATTGTTATTTAATCTTTTATGAAAAGCATATACGAATTAATAAGTATTAAAACATACTTTTTATTTTAAAAAAAAAAAAATTAGTAATTATTTTAATGATTTCAACTACTGGAAAATAAGTTAAGATTTTTCAATTTTTAAATTTAGAAAATATTGAGGATTAAATAAAATTTTTTATCCTTTATTTTATTTGAAAAATGTAGAATGATTTATTATCAAGTACCCATTTAAAGCTACTGGGTTGTTTTGCTTTTAGACTATTCAAGAATGTTCATTTAAGTAAATATTTGTTTCTAATATTTAGAAAAACCTCAGAGGAATAAGGATGTAACATCTGGTGATGGAGAAGAACCAGAAGAAGAATTTTCTGTTGAAAAAGTTCTCGATAGAAGAGTAAGAAATGGAAAAGTGGAATATTTGTTAAAATGGAAAGGATATTCTAAGTAAGAAATAAATTTTTACAACTTTGTTTATTAAAAAAAAAAAAAAAAAAATTGTACAATGCTGTAATCTTAATTTAAATTCATATTAAGTGATGATAATACATGGGAGCCAGAAGAGAATTTAGACTGCCCCGATTTAATATCTGAGTATGAAGAAATTCGAAAAAAAAAAGAAATAGTCAAAAAAAATGATCACAAAAGAAAATCAACTCATGAAGATAAAAAAAATGTACCTACAAAGAGAAAACATTCTGAAGAAGATGGCAAGCCGAGAGGTTTCGATAGAGGAATAGAACCGGAAAAAATTATCGGTGCCACCGATTCAAGTGGAGAATTAATGTTTTTAATGAAATGGTAATTTCTATACTTTTAATTTATTTAGTTCATTCTCATCAGCTTTTATATGTGTAACAATATGTGTATACATAATAATTATGTAATCTATGTACATTTAAAATAATTTCAAAAATAGTTTTTAATCGACATTCTTCAACTGATGTCAGTTCATTTGTTAATTTTAATAGGAAAGGTATTGACGAAGCTGATTTAGTGCCTGCAAGACAAGCGAATGTAAAATGTCCTCAAATTGTAATCGCTTTTTATGAGGAAAGATTAACGTGGCATACATCGGCACATGATGAAGAAGATGATACTGCAGGAGATGTGGCATAAATTAATAAAATAACAGTAATAAAGTTTTTTTTTTTTTTTTATTTTCTCTCTCTCTCTCTCTCTTTTAATTCTTTTTATATTCATTCTAAAAACATTCTTTAGTTATCGATAGATTCTATATAGATCTTACCGAGAAAAAAATGTATTTTAGTTTTTTTTTTTTTTTTTTGTTATTAATAAATAAGAATGTAGTTTTTATTTTTACATAAGTGTAATGATGTATCAGTGACTGTAAAAAGTGTATAACATAAAAAAAATATATATTAAAATTATTTTA